AGTATGATATTTGGTATGGTAGGCTTGCTAGAGAAAAATATATTGCTGAATATCGCAGATGTTACATCAACTACTACGAGATAAGCTTGTGTACTTATGTGTCGCAGTGCATTCTGACAATGACTTTACCGATGTCAAGAGACAGAGTAGTGTCTTGTGCTAAGTCCCGCGTAAGCAACAAGATATACGCTCCGTGTATATTTATGCGAGTCGGATAGTTGGAGATATTCGAGATTATCATATTGAAATAATCGCTGAATGGATCGAGTTCTTACTAGGCTTAATTGATAGCTTGAGCTTGATTTATATGAGAAAAGTGTCTTTATTTTTGCTCTATGCATCGTGAACAGCAATATTATGATCTAAAGTCGAAATATGAAAAATTTTCATTAAGAAACGTCTCCTTGGTCAACGCTCAAGTCCCCAATGCGCAAGCGTACAAAGTTGTTCACAAGTAAAATATTTATTTCTTGATTATCTTACCTTAATACTTTTATGTACAAAATAATGAGAGCAATCAATTGGTGTAAAAAAAAACACATAATTGTTCCGAAGAAAAAATATGTAATTTGCAATTAACAATTACATATTTTTTCTTAAAAACAACTGTGTGTTTTTTTTACACTAATTTATTCCTCTCATTATTTTGTACATAAAAGTATCAAGGTAAGATAATCAAAAAATAAATATTTTATTAGATATTTTAGATAGTTTATGTAAAATTACGATATTATTTTAAGCCTTATAAATCGAAAAGTACTCAATACAAAAATACTTTATTACAGTGTTTTGGAAAGCTCTCGACATAAGCTATAAGAATATGGGATAAAAAATAGGTGGTTCCATTTAAGAAATTAAAGATGTCCTTGACCTGACCTTAACGATGCCATCCAAGGTCAAACCAATGACATCATCTTATGTTCTCCTCAAAACCATACAATTTTTGTCGAAAACGTTTTTCTCTAAAATCTTAGTTTTTGAAAGAAAAGAGGTGTACGGTTTCTAATGACATATTGATTTGTAGTTATCCGTTATTTTTGCAATAAGAATAGCAAAGATGTTTGAAAGTTCTGAATATCTATATAGTAAGCAAAGAGGACCGTCAATTATAATGAAATATGACGGGGGTGATGGCGGATTCTTTGCTCATTTATTTAAAGATGTTTAACATATAGTACAAAAAAGAGTGATATCCTTAAAAAATTACCCTTTTAAAAAAAAAGGTAAAAAAAGGTGCTAATTCCGCGTAAAAAACAGTATATGTATTTGCAAAATAGTGTATTATTAACTGTAAAAAACTACTGTATTGTATATCAACAAAAATAATGATATCAAAAAAATTGCGCTAAGTGAAAATAAAAACTTATAAAAATACTTTAACCAAAAAAAGTTATACAAAATAGTTGTTTTAATTTTCTACATTATAACCTAGAAAAATAATGATATCCAAAAATTACGCTAATTAAAAATAAAAACTTAAAATATTTTAACTAAAAAAAATAATGATATACAAAAATTACTAATTGAAAATAAAAACTTTAAATATTTTAACTAAAAAAATTGTACAAAATAATTGTTTTAATTTCCTACAAATAATATTAAAAAGTTGCACCAACTGAATGAAAATTTTTATTATAAAATAGACATATTTCTTTTTTATTTTCAATATTAAAAGAAAAATGATATTAAATGAATTGTAATATATCTATTATAAAAAATCGAATTGTGAAAATATGAACAATCATATACATTGCAATAATCATATGCATATCCTAAAAAATTTAATTATAAAAAAAAAGAAAATGATAATACAAAATACAAAATTAAAAATGATTAAAAAAATTAAAAATTAGAAATTAATAAATAAAAAATAAAAATTTATATAAAAATTAAAAATTAATACGTATAAAAAAATTTTAATTATAAAACTTAGCGCTCCTACGCTGAATAATGTGCTAATGAAATTAGCAGCGCTAAGTTTTTTAACTAAAATTTTTTTATATGTATTAATTTTTAATTTTTATATAAATTTTTATTTTTTATTTATTAATTTCTAATTTTTAATTTTTTTAATAATTTTTAATTTTGTATTTTGTATTATCATTTTCTATTTTTTTTAAATTAAATTTTTCAGGATATATGCATATGATTATTGCAATGTATATAATTGTTCATATTTTCAATTCGATTTTTTATAATAGATATATTACAATTTATTTAATATCATTTTTCTTTTAATACTGAAAATAAAAAAGAAATATGTCTATTTTATAGTAAAAATATTTATTCAGTTGGCGCAACTTTTTAATATTATTTGTAGGAAATTAAAACAATTATTTTGTACAATTTTTTTTAGTACTAAATGACACGAATTTTTTCAATTACTATCTTAACAAATAACTGTTTTAATTCGACTGACAATGAGCAATGTGTGAAATTCTCAAGAATTATCTCGATCCCTTCCTGTGCAGTGACGAGCAGAAAGCGGAATCGTTTCCGTGTGCATGCTCATCAGTCTACTAGGGACAACGTGTTGAGGCATATAGGAAAGCGAGGAAACTTCGTTACAGCGAATTTCCATTTAGAGAGATTTTGCGATACCCGCAGAGTTGGTGTAAGTCTTCACGGATTGGTGCAAGATAAGGACAACTTTTATTCCTTTCTTTTGCTAGAAATTGAAAATAAGTACGTACAGATTGTGTGATAATCCGACTCTTCAGCCATTCGCAGCAGCCTTTGTTCTTTTGTAAACGAGATAATGCTTTGCAGAGACACAATGACTATTGATTTCTAGCTATTAATTCTGTAGCAAAACAGTATTCATTTCTTAAAGTTATAATTTGAAAAAGTCTTTATTATACAATGATATATAGAATAATGTGTATATAATACAGTAAGTGTTGTTTACTGTATATGTGATTTTCGTTGCATATTTATGTAGCATTAAAAAAATGTTATGTATGAGTATTTTGCGAAATTTTGATTTTTTTTTTTAGGAAATATAAATTTATTTTAATGAATATCAAAATATATAAGAGATTCAAATTAATTATCCATTTCATAACACCTGCTTTAAATATATAAATGTATCATAAATGTATTATATTATAAATAAAAGATGATTTATTTATATACATAATTATCGCATATATGAATTAATTTTAAAGTAATATTGTTATTGTTATTAATATTATTATTAATATTGTACATTTATTAATATTGTATAATTTACTGTTTACTTTTTTAATATTCTGTAAGAAATGATATTATAAGTTTTATACGTTTATGCGCGACTTTACATGCAGCAACAAATTGATAGTATCATATATTAATAAAAGCTGATATATATGTGAAAATTGCGGCTTCAGCATGGTACATATCCTTCGAAAGGTTTCAACGGGCCAAGGGTGAATTGCAAAGGGCGGTCCGAGGCCATTTATTATCCCCATTAACGTGCTTCTGACCTCACTGTCTACTCCCTCAGGACTTGAACATACCTATAACATACAATCCCCTTTCACTCTCGACAATGCTGCCCTTGTCTCACATTCGAAATATAGTCGACAGCATCAATAGTTTTAGAATTATATGTTCAATCGTGTTTTATCGAGCGTTTGTCTGTTTCGCAATCACGACAACTGATAGTAAAATAATTTATAATTACAAGATTCAATATTTAACTGTTAAAAATAATATGTAAGGGGATTATTTTATTTTATAGCTAAATGATGCTTTTCAAACATGGGTTTTTAAAGAAGAAGAAGAAGAGTTTCTTTAAGAGAAAAAAAAGATGTATAATAATTATTAAAAATATTGCATTAACAATTTGTATATCATATAAGATTACAATGATTACACACACACACACACACACACACACACACACACACACACACACACACACACACACACACACACACACACACACACATACAATATATAATAATAATAATAACTTTAAATATAATTGCTTCTAAAAATATAATTATCATAAATATATATAAATTATATAAATATATTTTTAGTGGCAATTATATTTAAAGTTATTATTACTATGCACAAGGTTATTATTATCAATGTTATAGTAGTAATAATTTTGAAAATAGGAATCTCAACTATAATTTTTTTTATTATGCAATTATTGTCTTTTTTCAGTGCATTTTTTTGTGTAATTTGTCATATACTTATCATTTATTATGATAATGCCTAAATAATCTCCTACTTGTATGCTATAATTTTTATTTTTTACGTACAATGTCAATATAAAATTTATTTTATTTTATGAATATTAATATTTTTAAGAATTCCTTACATTACATATAACTATTTATAATGTGTGCATATATCTGTATGTATATATCCGATAACATAAATCTTATTATCTATATCTTTAAAATAACATTCACGTTAATCAATGTCTAATTTTCGAAATGTTCCAGAAACTCCGAATAGATCGTCCGGGTTTATTACAGAATTTGATCGGAGAGATTCGTTAACTTTAACTTTTTCTTCCTTCAGGAACCATTCTCTTCGTTCTATCAATTTTGCTTTCCACATATCTGAAACAATATCAAAGAAATTTGAACATCTTTTAGTATATGTTTTACATTCTAAATATATAATGAATATATTTATTTGTATATAAGAAAAAATGTTTTAAATATACATATACAATATATACACACATATAATACATATAAAATAATTAAAGGAATTCTTAGGTTTAGATATTTAATTAAAAGAATTTTTTGTGAAAATAAAATAATTATTGTTAATCTACATGAAAATTAAAAAGAGATAATATTTTTTATTACATATTGATTAATATTCAAGTGAAAATGTTATCATTTATTTTTAACTTTTCGTTTTAAATATTTAAAATCGAAATAAAGTCACTGATAAAAAAACATATTTTTAAAGAAGTAAAGAATATTGTACCTGATAAAATATTCAGTGATGGTTGTTCACCGCCNATATTCTACTGGTAAAAGAGATCTTGGTATAATCCCATATATTGATTCTATTCCGGACGTATGAAGATGTATCTAAAATATTATAATTGCAGTTAAAACTGTATAATTATTCCAATCCATATACACATGAAATACAAAGTTCCTAGTTTTAAACTATATTCGGTTAACATACTCGGTTAATAAGTTTTGCCTTCATTATTGATTTAACTACTGTCAATAAGACATCAAAAAAAACTTGGTGTATTTATCACATGAATTGCTTTCATTCTTGGACCGTATGATTCCTATATAGATTGAATAATAAAAATTAATTCTTGTAAAGTATAATTATATGTATTAATTTTTGTAAAGTATATATTATATGTATAGTATATACATATAAGAAATTTTTTTCTTAAATACCAAAAGAATGTCGAGTTTTTTTACTGCAACTGGTGTACATTTCAATACATGACCGAAAGTCAAATTGGTACAATCGCAAATTATAATTTCGGAATTAACTATATCTTCCTCTATGCGTGTCTCCATTATCATGGAGCAATATCTATAATATTTAAAAAAATAGTATATTTTTATTGATTTTATCTTGATATTTTTACAAAAATGAATAAAAATTTGTATATTTATATTTTGGTATATGTGTATATGTATGTAGGTATATACGTGTATATATATATATATATATAATATATATATATATATAATAAACAATCAATTATCATCCATCAAATCTATTAAATAATATTGTCTATTAAATAATTAAAATAATTTGTTGCCCAGTCTGCTTCATTTAATAACAAAATATAAAATTATCTAATCTCAANTTTCAAATTTGTTCGTTTTCAACTTTTCTACAAATCACAAATAAAACATTATCGTAAATAGAATTGAAAACAATATATTACAAAATTCATTATTTTTTTTATTTTTTGTTATAATATTTTTGTAACGGCAAGGCTTATATTATTGCCTCGCAGACCGGAACATCCGTCTGGCAAAGATATAACAATCTTATAGTATTTTTATCATAATTAATTGACAAGGATAGAAGTTTCAGTCTATCACATCAGAATAATATAATAATAATAATTCGCATATATCTCTTCCGAAAATAATAACCATTATTTTTTTTTTCTTCTTTACTCTTCGAGATGTTGGCTCTCTCAGTTGTCCGGACTTCGAATTCCCTTCTGTATTTTGTGAAAAAGAACTGTGTGGAAATTATGAAGAAGCGGCCAGATCTTACTTTCCTGAGTATTTCATCTTCTTCTATTTCCTTCTTTTCTTTCCAAAATGGATAGATCAAAACATCGGGAAATCATCGATTTCCCTATGTTGCCGTGCCAAGGACCTCAGAAAAAGGGATGAGCAGAGACGGGGCTCTCACACTTCGTCTTATAATTGGCATACGCCTTTATATTAAGTTAAACATTTGCAATGTGTCAGAATTGAGGGAAACAAACTTATCTTTAAAAGGCGGCAGTTCAAGTTTCATCATCACTTGTTTACAATTTTTCTCCTTTTATACAACAAACGTGAGTGATGTGTGGAGCGTTAAAGTAATCGTCAATAACTATTCAAATTTAGCTTACTTGCCATGTCACATACATATACGTTCAACATTAATTACAATTTTAACTAATCCTATTAGCAAAGACATTTTTTGTTTTACCTCATTTCACATATCATTCATACCTTCACAATATATACGATCAATATTACTAATAAAAAGTATACAGCACATACTTCGTGCGAATCATCATGTAACAATAAGGTGTAGAGCAATAATTCAAAAGTAGTTTAGAGAGAAACCAAACCATCACATAATATTATGTTTTTTTCCTCTTTTTTTGGAAACATTATTTTATCACTACTATATTTTCGGAGATTGCGACGATTATAAATGCCTATTGTCCCTTTATTCATTTTGTGATAATCAACTAATAAAAACGCATTTTCACCAATATAACTGAATTTTTTTATATGGAATCTTCAAAAAGATGAAATTTGATTCAATGTACCTATATCAAAGGCACTTGAAGAGATTGTCTTACCCTTAATAGAACCCAAATCTCCAACTGATAATTTAACCTTCGAAATATTCTCTTATTGCTTTTTACGATATTTGAAATTTCTTTTTAAGTTTTCTCTTAGCCTCTCGTAATGAGATATCCTAAAAAAATTACCTTTTCAAAAAGAGGTAAAAAAAAGAAGTCGAGTCATCTCAGTAGTAAAACATTATTGTATAAAACTATTTTACAAAAAATTATTTTAATAAAAAATTGCTGTATTAAAAAAAATTGTATAAAATAGTTGTCATAATTATTTACAAAAATTAATGATATATTTAAATAGAAAATTACGTCGAGAATAAAAGAGTGCGATTTTATTTTATGTTAATCAACAGTGTGTGTTAGATGTGATTGACTGTTGATAAATAATTAAATAAAAAAAAATTATGTTTATATTTTCGTCGAAAGTTATTACATCTTTGTCGTAAAAGTCAGAATCTCGATTTCTTCAACGATGAACAGTTGATTCATGTAGCTCGTAATTTAAAAAATTTTAATTATTAAAAAACTCGACGCTTCTGAATAATATACAAATAAATTTGGCAGCATGGAGTTTTTTAATAATTAAAATTTTTTAAGTTACAAGCTACATGAATCAACTGTTCTGTTTCGTTGAAGAAATCAGGATTCTGATTTTTACGACAAAGATGTAATAACTTTCGACGAAAATATAAACATAATTTTTCTTCATCTAATTATTTATCAGCAGTCAATCACATCTAACACACACACACATACACACACACACACACACACACACACACACACACTGTTGATTAACATAAAATAAGATCGCACTCTTTTATTCTCGACGTAATTTTCTATTTAAATATATCATTAATTTTTGTAGATAATTATGACAATTATTTTACACAATTTTTTTTAATACAGCAATTTCTTATTAAAATAATTTTTTGTAAAATAGTTTTATACAATAATGTTTTACTATTGAGATGACTCGACTTCTTTTTTTTACCTTTTTTTGAAAAGTATAAAATTACAATAGTAGAATTAAAATAATAAAGTAATTAATATTATCAATTTTTATATGATATTATATATTATATATTATATATTAAGTATATTATACTAACAGTAAGTTAACATTAGCTGAAGTTATATCATATAAGTTATTATATTATAGGATTATTCAATGCAAATAATAAAAATAATACTCGTGCAATTAATTATATTACTTATTTGTATGTGCTGCTGTAAATTTGTACTTATTTATACTAGTGCAAAAATGGCGTTACGTATCTCTTGATTCAAACTGTATTATGTGAATGTACAGAAAACGCATAAATCATTTTTTTTAAATTCATTTTTACTTTTCTTATAATCAGAATATCTTATTATGTAGTAAACGTGCCCTTAGGCCAAAGAGAAGGTACTCAGAAATAAATTAATATAAAAATTAATAATATAAGTTTAAAAATATAAAATTCAAATTAAATAATTACATATACATATAATTATTTTTATTAATAGAACTATTTTTGTTTTATACATATATAACCTTTTTGTCAAACAATTTTTAAAGACTTTAATTCTTTTCTGTATAACATCAAGTATTTCCGTGAAGAAAAATAAATTACACGGAAATTATACGGAATGCAGCTAATAAGACGTCATGAAATTAGATCTTGTTGTCGTTTTTCCCACTCCAAGTACATTCTAGCGGCTGAACGCCGCGAAAAGCAGTACCGTCTATGCCAGTCTAGTGATGATAGCACTGTCGCATAAAAAAAAAAATATATATATATATATATATATATATATATATATATATTAACATAAATAAATGTTTATTTAATAATATTCATAATATATAAAATAATATAATAAAATAATACATATATTAAATAAAGTATAAAATAATATAATAAATTATTATATTTTCTTTTTTTACGCGACGGTGCCCTCTTTGCTATCATCACTAGACCGGCATAGACTGTACTGCATTCGCGACGCATGTCCTTGGAGAGAGGAAAACAACATCAAGGTCCAGTCTTTGAGTCATGGCAACACATAATCAGATTGATTATTCGAAGTCAGTTACTACTGTGATCTCTAGCCAAAACACGCTACCGCGTTACTTATCGTTTAATAATTCTACCGCGTTACTTATCGTTTGATTCAAACTGCATTATAATAAATAAATTGAATATAATAACAAATTATGTATAAAGAATGGATTTATATACCGATTTTTGCTCACCAATAATGGATTTTGAAAAGCATACATAGTAATACAATTGTACGTAGTAACACAAACGTACGAACGAATTGTTATAATTACATATTTAATAAAAGATATAGACAATATTGAAGTGAATTCGATTACATGCTACGTGTGCTTGAATATGGCTCAAAATGTTACAAGATCTATAATTCTATATCTTCTTTGAGCGTTTGTAATTTGATTGTGATTATCTTTTTATCGACTGTTTTTCTATTATAATATTAATGAAAAAAGAAAGCTAATAATAATTATATTTTTGTATTTGTGATAAAATCCACTGAATATAAACCATTTTGCATTGTCATTTGTTCTCTTAAAAAAAGAAATAGAAATTATTTACTTACTAGGAATTCTTTAATCTTAAGATATATACTCTGATCGTGACGTAAAAAGAAATCTAAAAACATAACATTAGAAGATAATAACTTGCAATTCGTTAAAACTGAGTTTTAAGGAATCTATCGAGAATATATGTATATATGTGAATTAATATCAATTCGATTAACACATCAGAATTAGTAGAGTGAGAAAAACAAGTAATTGAGGAAATCGATTGACTGCAAACGTTTACGAAAAACGCAAATGATGTTTGAAAAAATGTTATGTGTATTATTGAAGAGTTTAGTACTGACAAAGGCAACTGTCACGTTAATGCCGACAGATTGCAACACTTCAAACAACCCCCAGAAAGAAAGTGTTGCTATGTGTCCGTATTTAAATATCACGCAGGTAAGAAATATTTTTCGCTTGATTAAGAAACATTTGAATGCTATTGCAGTTAGTAGTGTAACTAAAATAGAATGATAGTAAATTACATATTCTATATAATAAGACAAGATAAAATAAAACAATTTAATATAAAAAAAAAAGTATGTACGTTGTTGTAAAAAAGATGGATAAAGTTTCGAAATTTTGTTTACAAATGGATGTTATATAGTATATTAAATTTAATTAAAACGGTATTTTAAAATTTGAGTTTATTATTCTCTCTCTTTCTTTATATATATATATATATATATATATATATATATATATATATATATATATATATACAGGGTGTTCCCGGGTTAAAAGGCCAAATTTAAAATATAAATTTGGGACTGCAAACAAGCAAATATTTCTTCTGGAGGTTTACTCGCAAACGCTTCGCGTTCAAAAGATATCGACTTGTTAAGTTACAGAAATATAGGAATGAATAATATCGAAATAATTTAGGTTTATCTTTTTTATTGCTTTTTTTATTGCTTTATAGTAATCAAAATTTTGTAATTATTAAATATTTTGTTCAAAATGATAGCCTCCAGCTTGGAGACAAGTATTGCACCTATCGACATATTGTACTACTTTACTCCACGAAAGTATTCAATGAACTAACAATTATTTGGTACACTGCCCGAAATCGAGTTCTGTTTGTAAAAAACAGAAGTCTATGAATGACCTTCAATCTTCAAAACAAAGATAAAACAGAAATATTTTGGTATTATTCATTCTTATGGTTCTGTAACTTAACAAGTCGATATCTCTTGAACGAAGCGTTTGCGAGCAACCTTCCAGAGGAAATTTTTATTATAATTCACATATTTCTATAATTGAAATTAATTACAGGTATATAATTCGCAAATTTTTTAAAATTATATGTATTATAATGTGACCCGAGCACGCCAAGTTTTTGTAAGTTGCTTTGGTCTTAATTTTTTTAGTTCCAAATTTACTTGGTACTTATTTTGAAATTCATTTTTATTTTGTCGAGAATCTAATATATAAATGCAAGATTGAATTTGTAACAAATATTTCGAATTACAAATCCCTATCAATTGCTTCAATGTACTTGGCTAATTAATCATTGATTTCATATTTAGTTTTGATTTTTTTTATTAAAATTATATATATTTTTTGAGGGAAAATTTTTATAAATTATTTATGATAAGAGTATTTTTTTATTAAACGTTTTGTTGCATACAAGGTGTAATATTTTTTATGTTCTTGGCGTATTTTTTTTACCTTTGTAAGGTTTTTTTTAGAAGGATATTTAAGAACTGTAAAGAAACAATATTTTTAACCTTTTTATGCTTCATGTACAAACATTAATAGAACTTTAGTAATATCGGCAAATTTTTGAAAAAAATTTAAGTTACGTAAAATTAAGAAGAGTTAACTAACTTATCATGAGAAAGAATCAAATCGTTAGACAAAATTGTTTTAATAATTGCAAAGAACTACACTTTCGCTTCTACTACTTGTTAAAAGTTGTTATGATTGACTTTTGTTAACTTATATTGATTGATTTTCTTTTTGATATGAGTTATGTTTGATATACAAGATGTTTAAAAAAATAAAAATAAAAAATAGAGTTTACAATATGAATAAAACTACATGGCATTGAATATATATCATTTAGGAATGGTTTATATCAAACCGGTATTATTAAGCAAACAAAAAACGAATGATAATTTTTCGTTTAATTTTATAATATATATAATTTATCATTAAAAGCACCAGAAACAACCGTTTCAACAATATTCATTTTATAATTCTTTTCGTATGTTACACTTTATGAAGGATATTTCAATGTCCGAGAAAAATTATCATCGTATACTAAATTCCAAATCTGACCGGAGTCATTCTGATAGTACTGTGAGAAATGAGCGAGAAGTCGATGAAGTTACACGAGCAAATATTTCTATCATCTCAGAATCTATCGGTAAGTTACAAAAAATTGCATCAAACATTAATAACATAATCTATGACGAAAAAGTGTAAATACAAATTAAATTTAAGAGAGAGTGGAAATAAATTTAAAAATATCTTCCAGCAGTGAAAAAAATATAAATTCTATTTTGTCGAAAAAAGAAATAAAAAAGCATAATTTAAACATAACATTGTACATAAAAATTGTCATGATTTAAGGTAAAATCAATTTGATTAATTTGCTACTTGGTTAAAACAATTACAAATATTATACTCCTGATTTCTTAAACTGTAGAAATTTTTCGAAAAGTACTTGTCATTTTATTAAAAGTTATTTATTCGTTTTTGCTGTGTATTAACAATTACTTTTCTAAGTCTTAAATGACGCAAAAATTTTTTATATTATTTTATTTTTTAAAGATCAATACTGTGCTAATTTTCATATTTTGTAATATAGATTTATTTTTCCTCTTTCCTTTATTTTCACATTAAATTGTTCTTTCTGATTTACTGAGATATCCACATAATTATTATTATAATTATGTTAATATGTACAATCTACTCTAGAAAACAATTTGGACAAGCCAACATCTCTCAGAGCATTTGTACAATTCGACAGTCAATTCACAGAAAAAGTAAACGACATTTTTGTGACATTGAGGTAAAGAATCTAAATTATCAGTTTGTATTCTTTCATTTTTCTCTCTTTTCCTAAATTCAACGACATAAATATATTAAAATGTTAATTCTGTTATAATTTTACTAAATATAAAAAGACTGAAATGTTATTCTTTTATAGATGGAACCAACCTAACTTTACCGATGAAATAATACAAGGGTACACGGTGCAGTGTTTTTTCATCGAGAATTTAAAAGAGATTCAAATCTGCGTGGATAAAAATATCACAACTACAGAATTGGAGCACACGGTTCACAATCTAACATTTAACACGACGTATTATTTTCGAGTACGTGCGCATACTAAAATTGTTGCTAGACCTTACACGGATTTAATCAATGTGTCGACTACACATGAAAATCCAATACCTAAATTATTAGTAATGAATCAAGATATCCAAATATGGGACGTGGATTTAAACACCTTTACTAACTTTGGCATACTAATTTTGCCAGAGTACGTATATTGATAAAAAAATGGTTATAATTATCAAATTATTTTTGACACTATAAAGTTAAAGTTATTATTATTACGTACAAGTTTATTATCAATATTATAGTAATAATAACTATAAAATTAGAAATCTCAACTATAATTTTTTTACTATACAATTACAGTTGACTCCTTTTTTCAGATCAGTAATAAATGCCGTTTTTTCGATACAAGAACATAGAATTTATTGGAGTACCTTGGAAAGAGACCTAATGACACTAAAGATTAATGATAATAACATCACAAAAATAGCTACATTTGGTCATGATCTACATGCTCTCTGCATTAACTGGATAGCAAGAAATCTATATTGGACCTATTTAGAGTCAGACTACTATTACATTGTAAAGTTGGACTTAACATTGTGGGAAAATGGCATGATTAAATTTGATGAGATTTTCAAATCAGAAATTGATAATGGCTATTTAAGTATATCACCGTTTATGGGGTACGTTTACTACCGTTTACTACCGTTCGCCAAAATAATTTTCTGTTCAAGATTTATGCAAATTTGTAATTTTTCTATAATTTTACGTAGTTTTATAATTAAGATTATAAGTAAGAAAAAATAATAAGTTATATAATTATAAGAATTTCGAATTTTTACCACATATAAGTTTCTGTTTTTGTTAAAATAATGTTCTATAATGAATAAAATAATTATATTTTTTAGAATTTTATATCACATATCATACAATCAGAAGAATCGAGAATATGATATGATGAAATATCATCTTGATGCAAAAAACGAACAAATTGTTCAGATAAATGCATCGTTTTGTCTATTTCATTATATAGATTTTTTTCATGATATGATAATTGATAACATCAATAATGAGGAGCAATTAATTTACTGGTTAAGTGAAAATTACACAACTGTAACAGACATTAACGTTTCTATGTGCAATACGATTTTATACAAGAAAAACGTAGGTGATAACATCAATTTCAAATCTATGACGATTGATAAAACAAACATTTACATTTTAGCAATTGATTCGCTCCAATATATTCTCTACGTTTTGAAAAAGAAATACGCAAATCTCAAGAGCGTCCCAAATGCATACAAATATGTTAAAAAGATACCAATAAGCTCAGATATAAATGTGTTTTTTAAAATTTATGCTTTTGATAAATCTTCACAACCATATCCTCCAATCAGATGTCTGACACCTGACGAAAAAGTTTATAATTTTGAAAATGTGACTGCAACGGCAAACAGCATCATTGTAAATTTACCGGAGTCTGTTGTAAAGAGTGAATGCAAAAAATATAATTTACCAACTACTATATATACTATTTTTGTAAGCCATTGTTTAGACAACAACCTCAACAAGTCTAAAGAATTCAATGTGCTGACAGGCGAGCGACATTTCAAGATTCAGAACTTAACACCATTTACAGAGTACAAGTTAAAGTTTACTTTAAGCAATTCTTACTTTGATCAATTATCAATAAATCCATTCGATTCGAACGTGATACAAATAAAAACTAATTTGGGTAAGCTTAATGCGCCAGAAAACATAAGCATTTTAGCTTTGACGCCTACTATAGCACTAGTTTATTGGATGCCACCCAAGAAATTGAACTGCGTGGTCGTGACCTATGTATGAAGTGTATTGGAAATTAGTGAACGACACGCAACAAGAGAGTAAACAATTTATCAATGTGCCGAAACATATGGCAGACGGCAGATTTTTCACAAAGATTAATTTGTGGCTACCAGTACAAGATTACTTGATATACGTGCGTGTGTATCCAATTAATTTCAGGGATTTCTACAACGAGAGTTTGAGCAAGATCGTTGACATATACTCAGAACCAAATAATATTACTTTGAGCGGGGTCAACATAAATAGCATGAACATTTCATGGATCTCTAACATTAATCTGACGATCTTGTTTACACTAGAGTACAAAGATATTGCAGCAAAAAAGTGGCAAACAATGAATTATATTAAAATGAGTTATAACAAAGAAATAACATATCATATCGGAAATTTACAATCGGGAACTTTATACAAGTTTCGCTTGATATTGAGATATCCTGAATATGAGGAAAATTTTACATGGCCGGGTGATGAAAGATTTATTTTTTCAACAAATGGTAGCAAACATGGTAAGTAAATAAAGATACCCATAATGCACAATAAAGTTGCAGATATATCAAAGAGTAATTTCATTGAAACATTGCAATATTGTAAATCAATTGCAAAACTCTGCTGAATCATTGTTATAAGATCGAAATGAAGTTAAGATGTTCGCTTTTTGCAATGAAATATTGGAGCAACATTGTAGTGTAATATATTTAAAAGAATGTAATGTTATTGCAACCATCTAATAATATTACGTTTAAAATATTTTTGTTTTTGATATATGAATATCTTGGAAACTTTATAATTAAAATAACAAGTTTGATATAAATAGAAGCTTGCAATGACTTCATATCTGATAATTTGTTGCAAAATTATATTTAAACATAATTATATAACATAAAATATTATATTTTTGATACAAAGTTACATTAAATTCTTACTTATCACTTTTTACGAATCACTTTTTTTATTGAAAATGTCGTATATATTCATATAATGAGGTACAAATACAAACATTAATTAGAATTAATTATACATTTATTTCTAATCATACCTTTATATAAAATTTTAAGAATTTGTTACAATCACACATATATTTACATAAAAGAAACACAAAAATGCATTAAAAAATAAAATGATAAATATAAAAGTATCTATTCTTAATATAATATAATAAATAAATCTTAATATAATAAAAAAATATTGGATTCGTACATAAAGTGAAAATATATCTGCAAAAAAGTAAAATTCATCGCATATATACAAATATAAAAATATATATTATTACATTATTTTTATAGATAAATTAAAGAGTGTTACAGTTTTTTAATGGTTTCAAAATATCAATATTATATTGCTAATATCCAATTCATACTTTGTTAATTTATATTTCTACAATGTTTGCGTAATGTTGCATCGCAATTTGTAATATTGTAATATTGTTGCAAAGTAGTTGTAACATTCTATGCTGCATGAGATATTATAATATTATGCGATGATATTTTTAGATATGAATAGGCCTATAATTTAAAAAATTAAATATTTATAATAAAGTTGTAAGTAACATTAAATTTATATTTTTACGTAATATAGATGATATTTCGAACACTCCCGGAATATTAGCTACAAAATATTACCTACCATTGATGTTGAGTTCTATTTTTATAGTTACTATAATCTGGATTTATCGGTGTAAGTATATTTGATATACGTATCGCCTTGAATTGTAGTCATTTATATATATATATATATATATATATATATATATATATATATATACAGGGTGGGTCACATAACTCTTAACAACTCAATATCTCGAAAACTATTCCATCGATTTTAAAGTTCTTAGTCTTAAATTGCATGGATCTGAAGGGCCTTTCTAACTACATAAACGTGAAGTGGCCCCCCTTCCCCTTTAAAGGGGACTGGGGTATTTATAATTTTAAATGGAACTCCCTATAAAACGTTTTGTTTAAATTCTACAGGAAAAAACAAGTAAATTTTGTCTGAAACATTTTTTTGTCAGATATTTCCATGATAAGATGTAACAAGTTTTGAAGTTTCGACTTATAGGTACTTACTTGAAGCGCTCGGAAATAGCGTTGTTAAATTATACGCGCTTGAGTTCTTTGCTTATTCGTGAAGAAACAAAAATCGATCTAATACCATTAGATTTTTTCTTATGGGGATATGTAAAGGACAAAATTATGTTTAAATCGCCGACGACAAAAGAGAATATGAAACAAGGAATACGTGATGCTTGCGCTTCAGTGATTTCCGAAATATTAACAAATGTTAGAACAACTTTGATGTTTCGAGTAAATAAATGTTTACAAGTCCGTGGTGGACATTTTGAACATTTAATTTAAAGAACATTTTATTTCTTCACGAATAAGCCAAGAACTCAAGCGCGTATAATTCAACAACGCTATTTCCGAACGCTTCAAGTAAGTACCTACAAGTCGAAACTTCAGACTGTTATATCTCATCATGGAAATATCTGACAAAAAAATGTTTCAGACAAAATTTACTTGTTTTTTTCCTGTAGAATCTAAATATGTAACATTTTATAGGGTGTTTCATTTAAAATTATAAAGTTACCCCCACCATCTCTTAAAGGGGAAGGGGGACCACTTCACGTTTATGTAGTTAGAAAGACCCTTCAGATCCATGCAATTTAAGACCAAGAACTTTAAAATCGATGGCATAGTTTTCGAGATATTGAGCTGTTAAGAGTTATGTGTACCATCCTGTATATACAGGGTGTCCCATTTTAACTTTCACACTCGAATATTTCGAAACCATGGCAGTTTCGGTGAAAGTGTTTTAAACAAAAGTTGTATGGTTTTAAAGAAGCCATAAGATGGTGTTATTAATTTTACTTTGAAAAGTCGTTTAAAAGTCACATGAAGGTCACCTTCAATTTTTTAAATGGAATCCTTATTTTTTATTACTTATTCTTGTAGATTATTTCAAGAGCTTTCCAAAATACTAGAATAAAATATTTCTTCATTGAGTACTTTTCAAGTTACGAGGCTTGAACTAAGTTCTTAATTTTACATAAACCATAAAATATCTAGTAAAATATTCATTTTTCGATTATCTTACCTTAATACTTTTATGTACAAAATAATGAGAGGAATCAATTGGTGTAAGGAAAACATACAGTTATTTTTAAGAAAAAATATGGAATTGTTAATTGCAAATTACATATTTTTTCTGAGAAACAACTATGTGTTTTCTTTACACCAATTGATTCCTCTCATTATTTTGTACATAAAAGTATGAAGGTAAGATAATCGAAAAATGAATGGTTTACTAGATATTTTATGGTTTATGTAAAATTAAGAAATTATTTCAAGCCTTATAATTCAAAAAGTACTTAATGAAAAGGTACTTAATTATAGTGTTTTGGAAAGCTCTTGAGATAAGCTACAAGAATATGTAATGAAAAATAGGGGGTTCCATTTAAGAAATTGAAGGCCCTTTATGTGATGAATAACCTTTATGTGACCTTCAAATGACTATCAAAGGTCAAACTTTTGCCACTCATCTTCTGTCCCCCTCGAAGTCAAGCAACTTTTATTTGAAACATTTTATTGTACATTCAAATATAAAAAAATTATTGGGGTAGATATATTAATGGCTCACCCTGTATATATATATATATATATATATATATATATATATATATATATATATATAATTTATACATACATGTATATCTGATGCATTATTATACCTAGAGATTTACTAAAAATAGTAATTTACTTACATAAAAGTAAACGAATAAATTTACTAAAAAACGAAAAATTCTATAATACATATTATTACATAATTAAGTTAAAATTTTTTAACAGTGTATCGTCAACGCAAAAGTAATGAACGATTATTTCTTTCAACAATGACCGATATAGAATTGGATATTCTACAAGAAGTACCTGACTTCAGTACCATTTACAATCCTATGTTACATTATAATCCGGATAAATGTGAGATAACTAAAATCGCACGTAAACAAATTACATTTACAAAACTTATTGGTAGCGGCACATACGGAATGGTAAAAATTAATTTTTTCAAGCAATGTTTCAAATTAATTTCTGGATCAACAGATATATTTTCTAATAAAGATATTATATAAATTTTTATAATAAATTATAAGTAATATAAAATTTAGATGAGACAACAAATATACACTTTATTATATATTTCTCGTTGAATTATTTAATATAGAGTGAAGTATAGTATACTAAAATATAATTACTTGACATTAAACTATAAACATTTTCTAATGAAGTACGCATGTAAATTTATGTGAAATATTTCGCAGGTGTATCAAGGAAGTGTGAAGAATTTGGAAAACTCAGGCACAGAGATATCCGTTGCAATAAAAACGCTTCGGAAAGATGCTTCTTCCCATGAGAAAAAGGGATTGTTAAAGGAAGCCAAGCTTATGAATCATTTTCGACACAAACATATATTAAGATTGTTGGCCGTTTGTTTAGATGGGAATTCTCCGTTACTAGTGTTGGAATTGATGGAAACTGGTGATCTGTTAAAATATTTGAGAGATTGTCGAAATTTGGAAGCGTCAGATTCGCATGCTCTGCGTTTGCAGGATTTGCTTGCCATGTGCGAAGATGTTGCGCGAGGTTGTTGTTACTTGGAAGAATTGCGTATCGTACATAGAGATCTAGCGTGTCGCAATTGTTTAGTATCTTCGAGAAATCGCGAGAATCGTGTTATCAAAATTGGCGATTTTAATCTAGCTAGAGATATCTACAAGGATGATTATTATCGCGTGGTAAATACAATTATTTAACAAAATTAAAAAATGAATTCTTTTGAAAATACTTTCCATTTTTTTATCATAATAGTATGATGGATTGTTTCTTCAAGTAATATGGAATATAAATAGTTTTTATTTATATATAGCAAGAGATAAAAGAATGTTTTTCATTTTATAATTTAAAATGTATTGTAAAAATGAACAACTAGAACCAGAAAATTAAATTTTTGTTAAAATCATGTTTTAGAAAGGAGAAGGGGAATGGGTTTTGTTTCCTATTCGCTGGATGGCACCCGAATCTTTGATGCTCAGAATATTTACTTCTCAAAGCGATGTTTGGTCATTTGGTGTTTTAATGTGGGAAATTACATCGTTGGGTGAGCAACCTTATAGTGCCAAGACTAATGAAGAAGTGATAAATTATGTACGTGCTGGAGGCAGGTTGCCGATGACTCTTAATTGTCCGTCAACATTGTACCAGTTGATGCTACGTTGCTGGAGTGCAGCGGATGCTAGACCAAATTTCGAATTTTGTTTGAAAAATATTATAGCATTAAGAACGAACATAGGAGATGCCTTACTGAGTCCAGTTGATACTATTTAGCTGATATTATAATTAAATTAATGTTTATTTTCCAAATGATCCAATAAATCTTACTGTAGGAAAAATATTTCTAGATAATTGATTCTGTCTGTTCTGAATTTAAATTTTATTAGAAAATCATATTAAAAGATAAAGAAATAATGTAGGGTAAAATTATGATATATAAGATTAATAATATAAGATGAAGATGAAGAAATATGATAATTTTTAAATCTATATTTAACATCTGTACATCATATAAAATTTGTATAAAAACTTTTTTTAAAGTTTATATTTTTAATTTGAATAAAATTATAAGAAAACATAATTGAATTTTTTTAGCTATATATATATATATATATATATATATATATATATTTTAATATTATATTTGCTGAAATCATGTTACATACTAGAAAAGAGAAAGTCTGTTTCTTATTAAAATATTTATGGAACATTTCATTATATATTTTGAGATTTATAACTTTATATTTATTCGAACATACTTTTCTTCACTTTCTTTTTAGATTTTTCGTTTGTATATAATTATAAAAAATTTTTCTGTTTGTAGAGATGTTATTATATTATATAATATATCTTAAAATATTTTAATCTAATATAATAGAATATATTTTAATTTGTAATATTATAATCTACTTAAATATTTTGCAGAACAGTGTCATTCTTTTTAATAATAACTTATCTCTATTATCTTTGTAATTTGATCGTAGCAACCTTTAATCCATAAATGATTTTGCAATGTCCATTCAATATATTCATCAGATAAATGCAACAGGAAGAGAGCAGGATATCGTATTAAATTTCCATTTATAATTTATATATTTATTACATTCTAGTTTACGATTGAAATATATCATCATGTTGTGTGTTATCAAAAAGAAAAACAAACCAAATTTCAATTGCAGACAAGAAAATAAAAATAACGTTTGTTATTTTCATTCATTGATTATAAAATGTATTAATTATTAACTTAATATGTTATTAAGACTTACGATTACGTATTATTTTTGACTTATAATTAAGTGTTATTTATTGATATAAAATGTAATATAAAATATTACTTGGAATTGCCAATAATTGTCATCAAATTTATGCGGTGAATGATATTTGTGATATTTTCCTGTAAAAATATTTAACGGATAATTTAGCACGCGCGATATCTTTCTTATATAAAAGTATTCTCCATTATCCCAGTCTTTGTATTACTGAAAATAATAAAAATATATTCAATATATATATATATATATATATATATATATATATATACATACAGGTATACATAATTATTTAGATAATTTATTGATTTTCGAACGTTTTGTATATATTCTATTATAATTTTTGTACAATATTAATTAATTATTTCATGATTTAATAATCACTCGGTTGGAAGCAGGTTGAAAGCTTCATCACATTTTTTAACGCAACTTTTCGAAACGGAGATCTATTATATTACAGATTTCCTATTAATTAAAAATGCTAATTAAAACTCTGTTAATGATTGAAACTTATAAAATGAAAGAATGCAACTCGGACTGTATGAAAACTGTAATATAATATACAAAACGTTCAAAAATCAATAATTAAGTATCTAAATAATTATATCATTGTGAAACATTTTGTAAAATATTAAGATATTTACATAAAAATATAAATTAATCTAAAGTCTGAACAATAGTCTTTCATTTTACAGAGAGTTTCAATCATTAGCAGTACACATTAAATAATTTTCTTATGATTTTTTTTATTTTTTTATTATCGCTCGGAGACGAAAGCTGTAAACGCGTAGTAAAATGAATCGAATAACAAAATCAAATAATTAACGTAACGGAAAGCCTTTTATTTTTTTATGGAATTAATAAAATAATGCATTTACACTCTTTATAAAAATAAATCAGTATATTATCACTGAAAACAGTAAACAAAGTCACTGATGCAGCAATTATAAGTTATTATATCACTGTAAATTAATAATATTACACTGAAAGTATTAGTAATGTTGACTGTTTTAATGAGTAATATTAATTTATCTATCTCATGTAAAATTAAAAATTTTATTTATATTTACATGCGTATTAGAACAAGAATGATAAATAGATGATAGTTTATTTTACATCTTTAACATATGATGACGAATTAGCAATTACTGATTTTACAGTGAAATTTTACTTCCACTGATTATAATTAGTAAGTTATAAGATAAAGTAATAAAAAAGAAGCGTTTCTATTAGAGATCAATACTGAAATACTGAATTAACTACATTCTTCAATTATTATTAATGTTCCTTGGTACTCGCCGTGACTATGTTGGATTATGACGTCGGAAGCAAGAAATTACACGCTGAAAATTTTTATGTGCCATTATTCAATAAAATAATATTTACACATACTAAAGTTAGCTAGTGCAAAGTTCGGGGCTACGCGCAAGTATACGCAACCTGCCATCGATCCCTTAAAATGCTAATCAACATATGGCAAGCACACGGCTTTTCCTTATGCAACGATTACTCGTACCTTAAAATTTTTCTATCATAAAACTTCTTGGATTATGCATACAGAATCCTGGTTTTCCAGAAGACATTCTACATCCCGCTTTCATGGAGTAAATATCGCGTCTGCAGAGAGTCTATCTTGCGCTTATACTCGTACAGAGAGTGTATCTTGCGCCTCGATAGAGTACACGTCGTGACTTGATTTAGATTACACTAAACTTATACAATAAACGGAACGTTCAAATTGTAGATAAAATAAATTCGGAGTTTCCATTTAACACGAAACGACAATTATTTATCTCCCGAGATCATTCACATATACATAATCTATACACAAGATATAAAAATAGATTTCTTGTGCAAATATTTGAATAGATATCTTGTATGTGTGTGTGTATTTATAATACTGCACAGACAATAAATTTGTTAAGAATTTCAAAAAAATCCCGAATCAATTTATTATCATGGACTTCTCTGACGGTATTCAATAATACCGAAAATGTGGCTACAGAGTGAGGTTTTATGCAAATATCCTTCACATTATAAGACAGATTATAGAATTCGACGATTGAAAAAGAAGAAACGCCAACTTCTGAACTTCGTCTTTTCTTAAAATTGAACGGATTTTTGACGAGTATTGTATATAAGTATACACAAAAATTTTAATATTTTTCTTCTTCTTCATAATAATATTTGCTAGTATTATTTAAAATATTTTCAGCGTCCCTACGAAAGAGCGAAAAAGCAAGAAAGGCAATCTATACATCAGACTTGGATACCGGCAAGGTACCAGGTTTTTATAGAACGTTTTTATAGAATCTTGTATTTTCGTCTGAGAGCAAAGATAAATCATACACGAATTATAGACGTAAATTTACTATCTCCTCCCTCTCTTCCAAACATAAGTACACAACAACTCTATCAAACAAATCTGTTAAATCTATTTGATACATATCTGTTGATACATATACGAAATTTATATTTTATATTTTGTGCATTCATGTTTTATTTTGTATTAAAAGGTCAGCGATTCTACGATTAAAGTACAAAATAAAAGTTCATCCCTTACATGTTCTCGGAAATTTGAAAAGAAACAGTGAATCAAGCAAAAGGTTTCAAATTCGAACCCTCAATTATTCTTGCAAAGTATATTTGTTAAATCTTTTTGTAATAATATAATTATTGCATAATTACATAATTACATAATTCAAAACGCAAATAATAAATTTCAGACATATTAATGAAAGACTGTGCGCAATTCGCATAAAAACAGAATTTTCTAACATCTGGCTCATCAATGTTCATGCCCCGACAGAAGAATAAAGAGGAAGTGATTAAAGATGACTTCTATAATCAACTAGAAGTGCTATTTGATTCACTATCTGCAAATTAGGTGAAGTTGCTACTAGGGGATTTTAATTCGAAAATCAGAAACCAACTGACTCATTTGAGAACCACAGGAAGACACAATTTACACGAAAACAGCAATAAAAATGGACAGCGACTCGTTGACTTCGCCAATAGTAGGGACTTGATTGTGAGCTCGATTTGCTACCCACATAAACGGATACATAAAAGAATCTGGGCATCACCAGATGGACGCACGCATAACCAAATAGATCACGTACAGAGTTGGGCCAAATAGATCGCGTACAGAGTTGGGCCTCCAGCATCCTAAATATCCGTTTGTATCGAGGGGCGAACTGTGACTCTGACCATTATCTGATTAAAGTAAAACTCCCGTGCTGGATATCAACGGTTTTTGAGGCCAAAACGAACCCACTTCGAAGGTTCAATATTAACAAACTCCGGAATGAATCAATAGCCAACGAATACGGACTGACGCTGGAGAAGGAGCTAACCCCAATGACAAATGCTCTCACTAGGAAGGACGTAAATGAAGCGTGAGAAGAGATTAAGAGAAAAATAAAAACTGTGGCAGAAAGGGTGATAGGATATAGAGCCCACAGTAGAAGAAACAAGTGATTCGACGATGAATGCCTAGAAGTGCTAAACATGAAGAACAAAGCATACAAGCAATTCACGGAGCGACCAACAAGAGCCAAGAAGGATAAGTATGACGACCTTCGACGATCTGCAAATAAAGTCATAAGATAGAAGAATTATCTTAACGAGAAATTCCGATACATTAATGACAATTTTGCGGCTAATGACTCAGATTTATGTCTTTCCTTGAAATGATATAATTTTATCAAAACATATCGTAGAAAATTGATTAAAATGTGAATTTATTAAGAAATAAATGAATTTTTTTAAAAAACCCATACATTTTTGTGCCAGGAAACTGATTCTCCTGAGCAATGCAACAGTTTGTTTTTCATTTCAAGTCTCTCCTTAATGTCATTTTGTAAAAAATTTTTGTAACTCAAATTTGTGTTTTTGCTTTTTGAAAGAGATGTTTAAGTTTTAATTTGAATTTTGTTTTATCTTAATACGATGATTATTCGCTGATTTATTATTTAAAGATGTTAAAAAATTATAAAATTTAATGGCCTATATTTTTTGTGTGTGCATGTAGATATGTGGATGACATGTATAGTCATATATCTAGGAAATATTTCTGGTAGCTATT